ATTACTTTTCTCATATCAGTAAAAGAAAAGGAATAGGGACAGAACATTCTGAATTGACCTTAGAAGTTACAGGCGGTGACCCCATCTTCCTCAGCACTTGCCTGCTGGAATCACACTCAGATTCCCCACATGCCCCGGTGCAGGCTCCTCATCCTCCTGGATGCTGTGGAACTCATCTTGTATGCCGGACCCAGCCCAAGTGCATGGCAGGAAATGGCACTCTGTCCCGAACTGAAACATCTTCAGTATTTTTGGATGTAGATCTGGTATGCTATGCTAGAAAGCTAGATATAGCGTGTGTCAGAAATACAGTAATCAAAGGTGACATCAATTGTCATGATTAAATTCTGCATTACTTTATGTGGAAATATATGAGTGAGGAACAGCTTTTGAAGGAGATGGGGTTACAGAGTCAGCTCAGTACACTGTGTGCTATTATCTATGAGGCATTAAAGTAGAGGCGAAGGGCTGGGGAGATAACTCGGCAGTCCCAGCACCTGCCGGGCAAGTGCAAGGACCTGGGTCGGATCCCTGGTACTGCATACTATGCTGGCCCCAGAAGCTCGGGTGTGCCATGCCAGCCACCAAAACCTGGAGTGTTGGTGCATGTCTGTAATCCCAGGGCTGGGAGGCTGAGACAGGCAGATCACTATGAGTCTGAGCTGTGTAGCAAGACCCTGTGCCAAACAAACAAACAAACAAACAAACAAATAAATAAATAAAGTAGAGGTGAAGCATTATTCTGGAGTACTTTCTAGTCCTCCATGTCACCTCCCACCTTTAATACTAATTGCAGAGTTTAAAGCTCTCTAATATTACCCTCAGTTTTGCCAATACTCATAAGTTCAGGGGTCATGAAGAGCATCCTAAATTAGATGATTCCCTGGAATGCCTCACACAACTCTCTAAAGGCCATTTAAAGTGTTAAAATGCATAAGAGCTAAAGGATACTGATTAAAATAGTTTAAGGTAAAGGAGAACAGTGCCGAACTGAGGGCAGAGACCTTAGTCGTGCTGTTCAAGCGTGCTTGTAGTCACTGCTCACATCTGTAGGTACAGGAGTGTGGAGATGTACATGTAGTACTGCCGACCAGGGAAGCTCCCGTGAGATCTGCTGTTCAGAGTTGTCACTGGAGCCTGGTCACTGGCATGGCTGCCCGTGCTACTGATCATGTTCATCTGGCCCAAAGTGCTCACCACACATTACATCATTATCCCAGCCTGTGTGATCCAAGATACAGTGCTAAAGAAAGACCTAGCAGGCAAGACCTTCCAAAGATATATGGGTTAAGTCCCAGGATCCAGTGGCAACAGTCAGCCTTCTCTTTATGTAAGATTAATCATTACTACACAAACGTCAGATGAGAACATGAATATAGAAAAGGCCAGAGTTCAAGGAAGCAGTCTGGCGAAAGATACATATTTGGAAGTTAGAAGCACAACAAAGGCATACTACTGAAGGTGTTTCCTCTGTTACATCTACTAAATGAATCCACTGCACGCCTAAGGAGAGGACAGCTGATAAAAATTTAGACAGAAATGTTTTCAATGTCAACCTGTCACTACTGTCAAAACCATTTTAATTCTATTATAATTGGCTCCCCTCCCTAATTTTCAAACATTGCCATACAGTACAAATCCACAGCTGGTGCCATGCACAGTTGATTTGTTTTAACACACTTCCTGCTGGGGTAGTTGCACATGCCTGCACTCCCGGTGCTTCGGGAGGCTGAGGCAAGAGTGACACAAGCTTGAGCCCAGCCCAGGCAATTCAGCAGTGTAGACTCTTGTCTTAAACAACAACAAGAACAACAGCTGGAGATGTTCCTCAATCAGAGGTCCTGGGTTTAACCCCCAGTACTACTTTAAAAGACATCATTACAGTGCCAAATTTTGGCTTCACAATGAATTAGTAGCTTTGATCACCTCACCAAAAACATGAGTGGCAAAACACAGGGGGCAAGAGTCACTTTTTGCGTAGCTTATTTTGCAGTACAGCTTTGGTGTGCTTCTGACACTGCACAAGACCACATTAACTAAAATGATGAATGGGCCAGCTGATGAAGCCAGTTGGCAAAGCTGTAGTGCATGTGGCTGCTGAAATGGATACCTGGATGAGGAAGGAAACTCGGGAGTCCTTTCCTGGGGCTAGGGGAGGCTGGGCCTGCCGCAGAAGTGGTGTGATTTATCTCTCTGGAATGAATGCCAGCTGGAGTATGCCTAAATGGCTCCTTCTGGCTGCTCTTTAAAAGCTAAATTGATGGCAACTTTGGTACAGAACAGTATAGACCTCTGTCCCTGTAAGATAAACTTCGATTTTAGCCACAGCTAAGCTAAGTGAAAACAGAAAAGTCAGGAAAAAAATTAAACAATATAAAACAATCATGTAAGCAGAGGTAAGGACTTAGAGGAAATAGAATGATGCTCATTTACCAAAATACTGTGAGGAGCTAATTACTGCAGTGTAGTGCGTTGTTGTTGTTAAGCTTTTTAGAAACCCATCTCTGCAGATTATTTCTTTTTATTATTGTTATATAAACTAATCACATTAAGGGAAAGGGGGCATTTTATTAAAAAAACTATTTTAGAAAGTTATAATTTTACTGTGACATTCAATAATTTAAGAACATGCCACATTTGTTAAATAAATATTTCTGAAAAGTTTTGTTTGTAAATTATTTATTTTCACCTTGTTTTGTGAGACAAGGTCTCAATACCCATTTCAGGTTGACCTTGAACTCATGACAATCCTCACACCCCAGTCTCCAGAGTACTAGTATTATAGATGTGCAATTGTTTTCAAGGAAATAGATTTTTTTCCCTTTTAATAGGACTGTCCCTTTGTTTCTCTTTTTTGAACAAATTGCTTGAGATAGAGCTGTATTTGAACCCTTTCAACTACTTTGGAAGATATTTTCTTAAAAATATTTCATTTTACAAAACATGCATATTTGTTTAGTTTTGATGGGACTGATTTGCATAATCAGATTAGAAATTGGCACCTATAGAACATGATAAGTTGTAAAGGAAAAATAAGCATTAAAAGTCTAAAGAGACACAGAGGAAATACATAGCAAATATTGTAATTAAAACATGTTGCTGCCGCTTAAGCTCATATTCATTTTGATAGAAGTTTTATTCATATAAATTATACTACTGGGATGTCATCAAATATACTGAATAAAATAGGTTAGAAAACAATCCTTTGGAAGTTTCACATGCATCTGTCTTTCAATTTGTTATCCCCTCACATGCATACAAGGCATTACAATAGAATTCAGACAGGAGTTTCTAAGTTTCAGGGGATGGGAAAAATGCAAAGTATCCTGAGAAAGCCCCAGGAAGACCCTAAGCACCTGGAGCAGAAGGTGATGGAAATACAAATTTAAAAGTCATAAATCTATTTTAATTACTAACTGCTTTCTAGGTTTGTTGTCTGTAATTGGAGTGCTGAACCATTTGTGTTTAAAAAATTGAATGTGAGAAGCATTATAGAAACTATTTGCATATAAAAATACTGTAGTGCAAGTACACCTTGTACAGTTAAATACTGAATAAATACTGTTATTCTAATTACACTTGGCCATGAAACAGTATCTTGTGCATGGTAGACATGCACAAGGTGTAAGCTGAATGAATGAATGAGGCACATTTCCTTCAGTTCTCTGGTTGCCAGTGACAACTCCCACAAGCAGCAGTTTTTATTTTATTTTATTATTATTATTTTTTAAAATCTCTTTACAGTGCAATGCCATTCCCCGGGGAAGCTTACAAACTGAAACCTCTCTCACTAATGCCAGCAGAGATGTACATGTGTGAGGAGAATAGACAGACATTGATTGTGCCTGATGGCTCGGTGAACTACATGCGCTCTTAAGAGACTTGACAATACTTGGCAGGATTTCTACTTAGGAAGAACTCCACAAACACTCTTTGTGGGTATTATTCTTCAGAAAATTTCTCATTTTAAGTCAGTTAAGCATTTTCAATCCCAACTGTTGAGCTAATCAAACTGGAAGGATAGCTTCTCTTCCAGCAGTAACATATTAGTCTCTTAATATGTTCTTTTAAATTTTGAATCTAGCTGGGAATGGTGGCACATGCCAATAAATCAGCACTTGGGAGGCAGAGGTAGGAGGATCACTGTGAGTTTGAGGCTAGCCTAGCCTACATAGGCCCAGCCTGAACTACATAGCAAGATGCTGTCTCAAATAAATGAATGGATGAATGAATGATAAATAAATATAGGTTTTATGTAAATCAATGTCAAAATATTTTCCAATTACATGTTTAATAACCAAAATTTTTGAAAACTTATATTCTTCCTATATTGGCCTATTTAACAATAATGATAAACTACCACTCTCTGAGGGCCCAAAATTTGGCAGCTTCTTATCCATTGTTCTATTTGTTAAGCATATAGATCATTTTATCTTCCTATACAGAAAAAGAAATTGGAGACCTGCAAGAAACTCCACAGATTATAGATTTTTGGGGAATGAGATTCAAAACCCACACCTAATCTATAATTTACCCTACACATACACTTTCATATTTGATTCTCACAGTATTTTTTGGAGCTATCTATGGCTTTCTCTCCTGCATGAAGCTAAGACTGGCTTTGATCAGCCTGAACCTAGAAGACATTTAATGAGACTAATAGAGATGCAGAATGGCAAAAATGTAGAGATAATCCAGATTAAAAATTTGAAGACATTTTGTTTTTATACTCTTAATGATTATTGTGAATTATTATAACTTGTAACATAATTATTATTAATTTTATATTACCTGTTGCATAATGGGAAAACCAGCCTAAAGAATTTTAACAAAACTAACATATGATCAAATGTTTTATTGAAAAAAAACGAGTAGATACACCATGAAGTGCCCCTCTCCATGATCCCAAAGTTCATGAATCATAACGAGGGTGTTTTATGCCTCTGTGGCCCATTCTCTTTTACCTCTAATGTTGGTTTTTGCTTTCTTTTAAATTGAAGGTCTCATTCGTTTGCAAGAGCTCATTAAAGCTCCATCAAGGTACAATCTTCGACTTAAAATCCGTCAGTTGCCTGCTGACACAAAGGATGCCAAACCTTTACTGAAAGAGATGAAACGAGGCAAGGAATTTCATGTCATCTTTGACTGTAGCCATGAAATGGCAGCAGGTATTTTAAAACAGGTAATTTTTAAAATAGTTATATTTATAGTTTATAAATTTGTACTTAATGTATGTTTTCTTAAAAATGCAGTTATTTTACGCAATTAAAACATCAGAGGATTCACTTAGATGAAATTTATTATAGGCTGGCAATTGCATTTGATTGTTTAAGAGAAAAGTAACATAAATATTGATTCTTATCAAAGCAGATTGAAATTCTGAGATAATTTTCAAGTGCCTTCAATACAGGTAGAAGTTGATTAATGATAGAGATTTCTGTTTTATACTGAAATGAAGAAAGATACTAAGATTCAATGATTGAATTACTTCTTGATGTAATCAAAAAGTAGGAAAATGATAAAAGAGATTTACTGTCTATCCAGTATCTACTGGATGATGTCTAATATGTTCTATCTTATTTCTTCATCTCCACAACTGCAAGATCCCTTCTCATCCTAGAATAACTGCATAGCATGACTAGCATCCAGTAACAAGGAAATGATGAGGCATTAAGACAACACTTAATGATGTTGTTCATATCCATGCCACATAAAATAACATCTGTGTGAAAGGGGATTTGTGAATCAAGGGGAACCATTGGTAACAGGAAAACAATAATGGTTGGAGGGTGATGCAGGAGAATGATAAGTTCAAGGCAAGGCTGGGCAATTTAGTTGCATAATGAGACCCTACTTTAAAAATGAATAAATAAAGCCAAAAGCAAGGGCAGGAGATGTGGAATGTAGCTCACTGGGCAATAGCATGGGCACAGTCCCCCTTTCTGCCAAACAAAGACACAAAAAAGCCAAACAATAACAAAGCAATGATAGGTCAGAACTATTCAAAGAGACTTAGCAAGCTGGAAAACAAGGCATGTGTCCATATAAGGTAAGGGATCTGAAGTTGGAAGATAAATGACTAGTTAGAAGGCCCTTTTCATTTTTAAGTACTATAGCCTGGATTTAAACAAAATTCTTTAGATTTTTCTTTTTAAGCTTTTTAATATGCACAGTGGGATGACAAAGTGGCTTTGTATTAATTTACTGTTTTCATACCTCTGGGGAGCCAGGCAGATTCTGATGTCAAATTATATTCCATGAAACATAACTACCAACAGAAAATGTTTGTTGTGACATAGTTTTAAGCAGATGTTTGTCCAATAATCCAATAGGAATGTCAGTTTTACTACAGTGAAATACTTAATGGCATTTGGAAAACTACACTAATTGTGTGTTTGGGTAATAAAACATGAAAGATTTTGTTCGTATGGGGTTCTTTTTTTGTAAGCTTTTTGTAGTAGTGAATAAAGTAGTGCAATAAATAACCACCGAAATTTTGAGTTACGATTTGTATTTCCTGCATTTCTCGATCACCTTTAGAAGACACAGAATTGGAAAAGACACTTTCTTTTATTCTCAGATCCAGCTACTATTTTAGTGGCAGAGCTTTGACCTGCTTTCAGTAAAAATATAGTAACGGGACGCTTGTCTTCTCTTTAAAGAACTGACTCTGAGTTGCTTTACTGTGTGGAAAGTGAGAGTATCACCTTTAATGACAGAATTTGGAATCTGCCATTTATTGGATGTATTCATTATTTTATACCGTACTTGTTTCCTTAGTATTATCTGTTCTGTTTGGAAGACAGAGATACAACTAAAATCATATCTTAAAATATTCAACAAAATATGTAATTTCACTAGATGGAAAGTAAAACTAAAGGAAAAGAAGAAATAGAGCCTAGAGGGGACGCTATGCAGGATATGTGCTCTGCAGACCTGTAATGTTAGATGACCACATAGATGGGGATATGCCTTTTATGCATCTGGACCCAGGGAGCCCTTGTCTCACATCTGGGTGCCAGTTATTAGAGGAACCAATTCAAGAATAAAGCAAACAACTTCCTCTGGTAAATGCAACAATATATTTATGGGGACATTTTATGACTTGCAAAACTTCACTGGTATTCTTTGACATTATTTACTCTAGGAACACCAAAAATATAGTAAAGGAGGTTGAGCAGAAATAGAAAGTTCTTACCTGGACAGGCATACAATCTAAAATGAATCTAAATCTTTGAGAATATAAAGTTTCCTATCTCATAAAATGACACAGATTGTGAATGTTGGGGAAGAAGATAAATATGCAATGGCATTGATTTAGGACACTTAGAGTAGACTCTAGAGACACTAATCATCTGCTTCTGAGATATTTTGCTCTAACTTTAGTGTGAATTGTAGGTGTAAGATAATCTTTGAACTGAGCTAGACGACTGTTTCCCACAACATAGTTTTGGGACTTCTGATGATTTTTTATACCAAAGATTCCATCTCTGAAACTACCCAGAAACTGAGAATAGACCCACTTCTCTTCAGCTTAACTTTTGCTAGCACCATTTACAATTGCTGATGACAACTGATGTAATTTCCAAATTCAGGTTGCACTCTAAAGCTATAAACAAAATTGTCATTTTTGACTTTTTAATTTTATTTATTTATTTTGTATTTTAGGGAAGGGTCTATAAGGTGTTCAGGGTCTCACTACTAGATCGGACTCAAAGTGATCTGCCTGTTTACAGCCTCCCAAGAGCTGGGATTACAGGTGCATGCCAGTACACCCAGAAGTCTCAATTGCTATGTCAGCACGCCCCAAGGGCGAGGCCAACATGGCAGGCCTGGGGATTGAACCCCAGCCCCTGTGCCTACTTGCAGGCACTTCAATCCACTGAGCTATTTGGCCAGCCCTTGACTTTTTTATTTTAAAGAGAAATAAATAAAATTTCAAAACAAAGTAATAGGAGAGTAACAATAGTTAATATATTAGGTATTTGTTATATTTAAATTAATTACTCAGAGTGCAAGATAGAGGCTTTTAATTGTCCAAACAATAGTAGCACAAAACTTTCTTTTCAGCAAACTAAGAGAAATTAATAATTTCTTAGCTAATAAATATTGCATGAATTCTTTAATTACATCCTGCTATTTTGTTAATACCTATCTGATTGATTTAATATGGGGGTACTATGTATATTTTAAAGTTAAATTTTTATGTCCTTTTCTTTTATTTCTTAGGCATTAGCTATGGGAATGATGACAGAATACTATCATTATATCTTTACTACTTTGGTAAGTATTCTATTTAAAGAAAAATAATACTCTATTTCATTACTGTGGCATTTTACAGTGAAATAAATATGCTTTTGATTGAGAAGAAGTAATATAAGGAAAGATGTATTTGTAGTTATACTTCACTTTATTTTCATAATACTCAGAAGGAATTATCAGGGTGAACTAATAACTGTTGTTATTAGCTGAAAATTTTGCAATAATACTTCAGATATCAATTCAACATATTACATGCATTGTTTTTATATTGCTTCAGAGAACTTTCACAACATAATGGATTTTATGATTAGTTTCTTTAAAAAATTCAGTGATTAGACAAGCATAGGTTTACCTGTTGTTATCTCAGCTATATTTGTTATTTTCAAATCAAGATATTAAAGATGCCCCATGAGCACATCTTCTATTTTTAGTTGAATTTTCTGAAAGTCAGCATTTTAATTTGAGATTAGTAAATTGAACATTACCTTTACAGTTTCTCTTCCTACACCCAAAAGATATTTTCCTTATGGTGCATGAATATCTGACCCAACATTATGTCAAACATACATACTCCACACTTACTCTCTTCGTGAGTAGATTATCTTTTAGGAGGCTTTCTTTCCTCTATAAGAAAGCACCTTGTCTCTTTCACTACTTCATTCCTCTCCAATTATCTTTCTAAGCACCAATATATTTTTAGAGTTGTACTTATGCTTTTGTTCAAATGAAGTCTAAATGTAATATTTCTAATTAATAAATACTATAGAGTAATTCTGATTGTTGTGGCATTAAAATGACTTGAAAACATTTGAATTTTATGTGCTGTCCTCCAAATTTACTACTCTTTTGATTTTGTTAAAAAAAACTTCCATAATTTTTATCTCACACAAAAATTTTGCTATTCTCTCCACAGTGTATAGCATCCATTTTTTTCTATTCCCACTGTGACCTTTCAAATTATTGCTCTTTATGTTGATTCAAAACTTTTTCAATTAGTCTTATATGGAGCATTCTGAAGTTACCAGATCAGATTTCTAAAATTTAATTGAATGGAATAGATTTCTGTGATAACTGTTTTCTTCAACAGGCATTTTTCGTGTAGTAGTTGTATTTTACTTATAAATTCCAAACCTGGCTTTATTTATATTAGTTCTTACTAGATTATTTCTTGCAGTCAATACATAGCTGTATACAGGTTTCAGAGGAGTGAAAATCTTCCCTTGCCAAATATATTTGAATACTCTTATAATCCAACTCTACCATAGTCATAAATTTTGAAATTCTTTTTTTTTTCTTCTGGTATCAAGAATTGAACTCAGAACATTGTGCTTGTCAGGCAGCCACTTTGCCACTAAGCTATATCCTTGACTCAATCATAAGATTAGTTTAATAAATGAAGCTGCTAGATTAAAATAGGCATAAATCCTTAATTGATAATTGTTTTTTCACATTTTTATTCTAATCTAACTTTACGACTTTCTTTTGTACTGATTATTCTTTATGAATTCTCCCTTACAACCAACTAATTGAGAGGTTTTCCCATTTTTATGTCTCATATTTATAGTTTGCATATTGGTCAGGTCTACCAAGAGTCTGGTCATTACCTAAAGACAGGTGTGGAGGATAACAGATGGCTTCTTATCTGTCATAAAGTTTATGGCTAAGACAACTGTAGCAAAAGACAGTTTTGCAAGACAATTGTACATAATTTTATTTAATATACATTGAATGCGCTTCTAGGTCTCTTAGAAAACAAGACGCAAAGAAACAGAGAAATATGTTTGATGAAGAGTGAACAATTGCATGCAGATATAGTTGGATAAAAAGGGTTTATTTAGTAGTAATAAGATATAAAGAGGAGGAATTTAGCAAGACTTGTTCAGCTTCTTTCTGGCTTTAAAAGTTTGGGCAGGATTTCTCTGGTATGCAGCTGTTATGACCCAGGGACTCATGTCAGTAGAGAAGAATGCCAAAAGTGAGAGAAAGAACTTCTTGCTTTTGCAGTTTTCTGCTTCCATCATCTTCAACTATTCAGTGTCGCAACACTTCATACCTTGGGGTAAAATATCCTGAACCCCATAACAACTCAGCACCTATTTGATCTGCAAAGATTTTTCCTGACTATGAACATTCATAGTGATCTGTTTTGCTTCTGACCATTAATATGTTTGTCATTTCTATTCTTTTACACCTTAGCATATATTGCTATTCACTCCTGATTTACACCTTAAACCTATTTTATCTCTTTGGCTGCATTATAAGCCTTAAATCATGGAAACATGGAAATTTCTAATATTTTGAAGAACAACTTAAGCCAGTACAAGTTATTTTCCACTAGATTCAGTATCTGTCACCTGGACTGCGAAGTGGTGTGAGTCTGAAGCAAACTGCACATAGAACCAATGGCATTAACCTTGGCTTGGTTTTGAATATCTGTAAGACCTGAGGGCTAGCTAACACCGGCTACAGAGTGGCAAAGATCACCCTACAAAGAGGGCAAAGGCTTTATGTTCTCATTATGACATTCAGCTTCCTGGATAGCTTTAGACTCTTATCTCTTGGAAAAACTAAAGGATAAAGCAAGAGCATTCAGTCTACACACTGGAGAAGGTGAAAAAATAGTGTTCCTATGGTGAGCTGACTGATAGGACATACATCAAGGAAGTGCAAGGCTTCTACAACCAACAAAATCAATATTTTCCCCTTATCGTGCATGTATTTATTATTAGTTTGAATCACTACTTCATGATGTGTTTCTAAAAACAAGCAAATAATCAGGAAACAGCAACAATAAAATCTGGGCCAAACAAAACCAAAAAGTGGATAACAGTTCATCAAGGAAGAAAAGCATAGAAAATGTACCTTTGTTAGTTGAAAGTTAAATATCATTACATAAAGAATGAAGACAAGCTAACATGAAGATGCATGCTTATGTAAGTGTTGAATGGAAGTTACTGAAGACCCGGTTCAACTCCATGAGTTAGAATAATGTACATAAACAGATGTATGCATGCAGCATACATATTTGTGTTACTAAAGTGTGAGGACAGTATATTTGAGCCTAGATCTAAGGTGATGCTGAAAATCGCTTGAGAGGCAGTGGTGTTAAATATCCTAAAGGAAGGAAAAGTGATTATTTCAATAATACATGCTTTCAGATGAACTCTATTGATCCTGACACAAACAATTCTGTCTTTCAGGACCTCTTCGCTCTTGATGTGGAGCCCTACAGATACAGTGGTGTTAACATGACAGGGTTCAGAATATTAAACACAGAAAATACCCAAGTCTCCTCTATCATTGAAAAGTGGTCAATGGAACGGTTGCAGGCACCCCCGAAACCCGATTCAGGTTTGCTGGATGGATTTATGACGGTATGAATAATGACTTAAAGATCAGTTTGTGTGTTTCTAAATTGTTTTGGATACAATACGAAGTCCTCTATGTTGAAACAATAGTTTAGTTGTTCCAGTAAAGGCAGGATATCAGAGCTCTATTGCAAATAGTTTCGTTCGTAATTTTATAAATCAATTTATATGACAAATTTACATTTTCAAGCAAGTAACTCAAAAAAATTACAATTGTAATTTGTATATTAAAGTGTAAGAATTTCTCTAAGTTAATTAGTGCCACATATAGAACAAATTGAAAACTGAAAAGAGATTGTTCTGATGGGTACTTTTCCCAACACACTAAATGATATTAGTTCTCTTAATCATGTTAGTTTTTGATACCTGCCTTTATATGATTGACTTACATTGCACAAAAATTTCCCCTGAAGTTATTCATTCTTTAAGGTGCAGGACGAATCAAGGTTCACACTGGTAAATTTCAAGAACTAGTTTAAGTCTTGAAATGCATTAGTGCATAAAAGTCTATTCTTATGTGGACTTATTTCTACTCATGCAGCCAATGAAAATATAAAACAAGGCATATAATTCTGAAATTTTAAAAATTCCAATAGCTATATGTTAAAAATATACTTTAGATGAAAATGTCAGCTACTTTTATTTAAAAGACTACATTAAAAACTATTCTTTAAGTATTTTATATAAAAATAGGGGTTAATGTATTTTTCTTTCTTTTCTCTGGTAAGTCTTTAAAAGTTGGTGTGTACCTGATGGCATATGTATTAGTTCAGATTAGTCAATGTCTAGTCACATTTTTTAGTACCTTGTTGATACTTTATAGAGCCAGGTAAGATTTTAATTTAATCATTTAAAAAAGAATTGGTGGCTGCTGGCATAACACATTAAATCCATTCCATAGGCCACATTATTATTAGAACTTGGAATATAGCTCAATGTTTACATTGTATAGGTCATTACCATCTATTTACTTTTAAAATGCATTAGTCTAAGTGGGAACCATGTAAACATTTTCTCTTACATCTGGTAAAATATTTTTCTATCATGATTATCATATTTTCCTAAAATGCTTCCAGGGAGTTTTAAAACATATTTGTTGGGTCAGTCAGATAACTCAGCAGAGTAAAGCGCCTACTTAAGCAGGCTTAGTAACCAAGATTCGAACCCCGGCTTGCCATGCTGGTCCCGCTCCCAGGGCCCACACTGAGATAGTGACTGAGACTGGGCATGGTGGTGCACACATGTAATCCCAGCTCTTGGGAGGCTAAAATCAAGAGGATCACTATGAGTCTGATCTGTGTAATGAGACCCCATAGACCCTGTACTAAATACATACATACACACACACACACACACACACACACACACACACACCACAAAGTGCCACGTATTTGTAGTATTATAGCTTCATAAAAGAAAAATTGGCTTTGTTCTCTGAAAAAAAAAAGATTTAGTACATTGAGTGTCTTCATAGAGACTATGGAGAAAAATAATTCCCCTTTAAAGTACCAACATTCTTATGAAAAAAGACATTTTAATTAGGAAAATAATCACTTAGAATTTAAAATTATCTTATGTCCACATTAATTTTTAAAGAAATAATATAAGGAGCATTTTAAAATTTATTTATTTGTTTGTTTGTTTGTTTTTGTTTTTGCCATACTGGAAATTGAACCCAGGATCTTGTGTTTGCCAGACAAGCATTTACGCCATTGAGCTATTCCCCAGGTGCATTTTATTTCTTTTCACATAAAGAAATAGGTGACTAGTAATAGCAGTTTGATAGACATATCTGAAGAATATTATCAGGAGGAACTACTTTATTTATTTTTTTCCAAAGTTTTATTGATAAACAGATAGCAATGAGACACTTTCAAATCAAATTGGAAGTACAGTTTCAACAAATAATACACTGCATATATTCTTCTTAGTGGTTAATTGATGTACAAGATGCGGACTTGTGATCCTATTTACAAACACCATTAGAAAAAATCATTCTATTCATTAAGAGAATGCAACTATATATCTATCCCAACCTCTTTGAATACACAGATACAAAATGGACATTCATCTGTATATCCTTTTTTTGTTAAGTTCCGTTATTTGAATATTATAGGTGTGTAAATTCAGCAAAATATTCTAAAAGAGTCCAGTAGCCCATAATAGCATTGGGTCTTCTGTTTAACTGGCAATGTCAGAAATTATTGACCTGAGTCCCCCACAGCTCAACATAACAGCATGGCTTTATTTCCTATATTTCATCTTCATACTTTTCTACTGGATGGTTAAGACCAAGGTAAAGCAGGACCTATGCAACAAGAGTTGTAGCTTTTTGGTCTGACAAGGTCAGTGAAATGCCCTCAGGATTTATCTTGAGATCCTATACCTCAGATTGTAGAACCTTTGTCAGTGTCAGCCATGTGGATGAGTCACGGCCAATGCTTGGCCTATGTGCTCTCTGTGAAAGCCTGAGAGAGTGTCTTCTCCCCATGTGACTCTCCTTAGGCACACTCTACGTCATCGATCACTTTCCTCTTTGGCCCCATAATCTTCTTGATCAGAAAATTTGGGACACTACCGAGGTACATGACGTTACAGTACAAGTTCTCATATGTCCTGAGTCTTAATTGACCTTAGAAGGCTAGGGCCAAAATGTTGGCTTTCCTTGTAGCCCTCCTTTTTCTCAAATTTTGGTCTGCAAACTTAGGTTGTTAACAATCCAGAAGAAGGAGGAACTATTTTAAAAACTCAAAAATAAAAATATTTTTCAAATGTATTGCCAAATTTTAAATGAATCACAATTCTGAAAAACTATCAATACTGTATTTTCTTATCTCAGTTGGAAGATGATGAGTTAAACTTTTGAAACTTGAGACAATGTTACTTTAAATCTTAAAATAAAACCTGTCATTTAGTAGTTTTAAAATCATATGTGTTTTTTCCCTTATATTAATTTTAACTATCTTTATAACTTATTAATTCAGAATGGATATTTTATTGCATGTATTTAAAAACTATTAGCGAATGGTTTTCCTAAATGGTTTTAGGAAAAAATAAGTTGGTAGACATAATGACAATCTTAACTCTTTTGTACTCTAAGATTTCCACTGATATGTCAAGGGACTAATGTGATAATTTGCATATGAGAATCATAAAATTCTTGAGGCTTTCTCTGGTGTTCTTGGTGTCCACCTGAATCCTGTATCACCTTTCATGTATCTCCTAAATGAGGTACTTCTTAATGTGCAGCAATTTACACAGATCATTAGAAAACAGTTAAAATACAAGGTAAAGTGAACTGATTTCTTGTTGAGAAAGGTAGAACTACTTGAAGAAAATTAGCCTTCCAAAAGAGGGAAAGGACACAGGGTGTTATGAAGAATAAAGGTGTGGTTTCTTTTTCAGGCATGTGCCCATTCCTCTTCTTGCCCTTCAAACTTACAGATAATTTTGTGGGATTGAATATACCATTGAATAAAAAGTGGATGAGTTTAAAATTATTCTAGGTATTGAATAATCTGGACTTGGTAAAGGATACTGGAAGTATAAGCATTTTCAACACACTTTTCCCTTTTAGACAGACTTAAAACACATTTCAACATGGCATGGAAAATAAGAAAAAAATTATGTATAATAGATAATTATCCCTTCAGCTTTACATTTTGATTTGAGTCTTCGTAAAATATAAATATTCACTAGCAAACTTACATGAAAGTATTTCTAAATGAGTAGGGTGAAGATAATTTATTAATCTGAATAATTTTGCTTATCTAAAATATTTATAAATATGACATTGAGCACAAATATTTTGTGAGGGGATGGAAAGTAACAAATGTGGTTTTATAATTCCTTGAAATTTATAATATAGTTTGAAAGCTTTGCATTATGTATTATAAAAATAATATAAAGTTTATACACAAAAATCATTCCTTATATGAATTTAATTCTTAATTATAAAATGCTATATGATTTTTATAAAAATAAAACCAGTATGAAATCTATATAAAATATTGGTATATTTATGCCTGGCATCAATATTCTTTTCTTTTTCTATTTAACATTAAATTTTAAGCATTTTCATAAGCCATTATATATTTAGAAAAAGAAATTAATAGTTAATTTCCATCATGAATGGTGTCAGGAAATTAAGATGGTTTTTAGTCAGAAAAAATAACAATTATAGCCTGGCAGTATGGCTTTGGCGACATTCCCTTTAATCAGTCCATGAGGTCTCAGTGTGTATATATTTCTTGTTCTTTTCGTCCTCTTAGGATTCCATAAAGAAACAGAATTATCAGCAAAGTCCCCAGTGCTTCGAGCAAGACCTATTATTATCAACATCATAGTCATTTGCTACTATGTAAGATCATAGCGCTTAGATTTTCTCAGTCTTTCTTCATGATCGGGCTATAAAAGAAACAATGAATTGGATTCATAAAAAGGTTTTCTGGTTGAGTTAGCATCATAATTGATCCCTGGGATAATTGTTCCTCAGCTAAATGACTACTGAATATGAGACCACTTCTCTTGCAATTGTAGCTTCTTCTTGTATGGCCTTTGGGCTTCACATTATGGGTGGTATATTAGCTGCCTCAGTACTAATTTTTTCTTTAGTTGGTACAGACCCAACCAAGATATCACATCCCACAGCACGTACAAGTCTTACATGGTTAAAGAAAAAGCCCAATTTCTTCCTTCACACATGGGGATTGTTTAAACCCATAGTAGGATGTTTTCCCACTTTCCTCTATGCTACACACTGCTGTCTAGTGATCTAAACTTCTCAGACATAAGCCCTTATTATAAAACTACCATTTCTTCTCTATTAGATGCATATATCCTTCTGTGCTCTTTGAGGTGTGAAGACTGAAGTCTTATCAGTCTCTTTTAGTGTACTGTATTAGATGCCTCTTTTGGCAGTTACTGTAAATTGAAAATTCACTTTTTGAATCCATCAGAGTTTTATGATGAATGTATTTATTAAAGATTTATTGAGATTACAGTAG